ACTCATTCAGTAAATACAGTGATTTTGGTGAGAAACGTATTTTATTTTAGCTATACCAAACATTTGCCCTAACCGACGCCGACTCCAAGGCGCTAGAGGCCATGCGCATGAATCAGGAGGCCCTACCGCTGCAGCCGTCAAAGCGTAAGAAACCCCCTTCCGCACAGTCGCAGGAGGAGAAGCTGAAGTGCGCGACACCGCGCCCACCGCTCCACCCGGGCGACCCTCGCATCCGTCGCTCGCTAAGCAGCAGCGACAGGCCATCGCCGCCGCCGCCGAAGCTGACACCGACGCCGCCGCCACAACCGCTACCACCGCTACGGTCATCGAAAGAATCGGACCTACCCACAGGCCCGATTTCGGAGACACCCGCACCGCAGCACGGTGACCGAGACCGAGCGAAAAGGGCGATTCTCCGTCCCGCTCCCAGTACTTCTCGGGAAACGGGGGTAATCGGTGAAAAAATTTTACCGACTTACCCTCCCCCCCCCAACATACGCGCAGGCTGCAGTAACCGCGCCCACGACGACCGCCGCTGCCGCCACAACCCTAGGCCTACACCTTTGGTGGTAGAACATTTACCTGACTGGCCGACTCACCTGCGGAAGATCCACGACCAGCTTGGCCGCGCCCCCAATGCGCGCCCCTTTGGAGTGGGCGTCCGCTTCACCCCCGAAGACGGAGATGAGTACCGGCTCATCCAGGCATATCTCTCCCAGTTGGAGGGATTGAGCTGGTACTCCTACGCGCTACCAGAGGACCGCAGCTTGAAGGTAGCCATCAGGGGGCTACCCTTCAACACCGAGCCGCACCAGATTATCGAAGCTCTCGCAGAGAAAGGTTTCGTCTGCGAACACGCGAAGCGCATCCGGGCTCGAGCAGGCCGCCCGGGATGCATCTTCTTTGCGTCGCTCAGGAAAACCCCCGACACCATCCCGGCCATATACCAGCAGAAAGAGCTGATGAGCATGACCGGGGTCACTATTGAGGCATGGCGAGGGAAGAAAGGCCCGGCCCAATGCCATCGGTGCCAGGGCTTTCGACATTCGTCGAAAGGGTGCCACCGCCCGATCGCCTGCGTGAGATGCGGGGCCCCCACGCCGCTGCCGACTGCCCGCGCCCAAGGTCGGAGCTCGCGACCTGCGCGAACTGCGGCGGCCCCCATCCAGCCAACCACAGCAGCTGCCCAGCCCTACGCAAAGAGGGCCGTAAAAAGACCGCCTCTACCGTGGCCAAGAGTGGCCCTGTAACTGACGCCACCATCCCACGAAAAGAGGTGAGTGAGCACGCTCCGGCCACACTTATGGCCCCGGCAAACCCGCCGCCGGTCCATGATAGCACCACCGCCACCACCGCCCACCGCCGCCGCTGAAAAAGGGGACGCCGCGGCGCCACTAAAGAAGAAGAAACGGGCACCAAACCCGCCCCAACCCAACCACCACCACCACCGACGGCGCCCGCGCCCACCCAGGCGCCAACCCAGGCGCCATTATCATCACTACCGACAGACGCCCTGCAATAGCTGCTCGCCTGCACTGGGCAGCTCCAACATTGCCTCCTACAATTTCTGCCGCCAAATTCACGCCCCTAAAGATCGTACATTGGAACGCACGGTCGCTCACGGGGAAACGGCGTGTTCTGCTGCATTTCCTGCGCGAGCACAAAGTCGACGTGGCCCTCGTGAGCGAAACCTGCCTATCACCGCACAGTCTTCCGCCTACCAAACTACACCATTTACCGACAGGAAGAATCCTCGCCGAGGGATGGACGGCCCATTAGAGGGCTGCTAGTAGCTGTCCACCGCCGGGTCATCCACCAACCCGCACCACCGGCGCACGTCACTACCCTGCGCGCGCTCGGTATTGACATTCACTTCGGCGGAACTGACATTCGGGTGTACGCGGCATACAAGCCGCCGGGCACCTCACTCGAGGTCAAGGAGCTAAGGGACCTCCTGCACCCGCTGCCTACCATCGTGGCGGGTGACCTTAACTCCAAACATCCCACCTGGCATTCCACCACCACCAACGCCGCCGGACGCCGCATCTTCCAGGACGCCATCGAGCACAACTACGACGTGTCGGGCCCTCCTGTGCCCACACGCCACGATCCAGCCAGCCACACCGATGACGTCCTGGATATTATTGTCTACCGCGCCGTCGACTCCAACATCACGCAGAAGGTAATGTTGGATCTCCCAAGCGACCACCGCCCAGTACTGTGCACTTTGCACGAACCCCTCACTCGCGTGACGCCACCTGCTCCGCGTAAGCGCATTGACTGGGACCAGTTCCACACAACAGCGGCAGCCACCACCACCACGCGGTCAATTTCTACCCCAGCAGACGTTGAGATGGCAGTCAGCGAGATCGCGGCCGCAATTCAGTCTGCGCTCACAGCATCAGAGCGCACTCTCCCCACCAAAGGGAGGTCTTCTCTTCTCCCTAGGCACATTAGAGAACTGATTGCGGAGAAACGCAGAACACAGCGCCTCTGGCAACAAACTCGCTGCCCCACAGCCAAAGCTCGCCTGAACGCGCTTTCCAGCAAAATAAAGCGCGAACTGGATGGCGACGCCGCCGAATCCTGGGACCGACACCTGCTGAGCGTAGACCGTGATATGCCCTCCGTCCACCGCCTATGCCGGCAGCTCACCGCCACCACCCCAACTATTCGACCTTTAATGGACAGCAGCGGCCACCCGAGATACCGCGCGGAAGTACCTGGCAAGTCTTTTCACTCCTTTCGCTATGACAGACAGTGAGCATGTGGAAACCGTGAGGTACCACGTGAATAGCTGTCTGTCGTCGCCACCGCTGCTAACAGAGGACCCTATCGTCTTCTCGCCCCGCCAGGTCCTACGAGAGATACAAAGGACGAAACCAAGGAAAGCTCCTGGTCTGGACCGCATCTCTAACGCTGCCTTACGCCACCTACCCATGAAAACGGTCACCGCCATCACCCGGCTGTTTAACGGCATCTGCCGCACCGGACAAGCTGGAAAGAGGGCAAGGTAATTATGATACCGAAACCTGGGAAAAATCGGTCCCTCCCAGAAAGCTACCGGCCCATCACCTTGCTCTCCACGACCTCTAAAGTGTTCAAACGCCTGCTGCTGCCTCAGATCACACCACACATCGAGCCGCGCCCCGAGCAGTTCGGCTTTCGAGCCGGACACTCCACCACTCTGCAGCTTACCCGAGTGCTACACCACCTCGCCGCCTCAAACAACAAAAAGGAAACCTCCGCCCTAGTAATGTTGGATGGATATGGAGAAGGTGTTCGATAGAGTCTGGCACGAGGGGCTCATTTACAAACTATCGAAATCCAACCTTCCGCCACGCCTTCTCCATATTATATCGTCATTCCTAGCAAACCGCCAGATCACAGTTGCAGTCGAGGGCGCGCTCTCCACCTCGCGCTCAGTCCAAGCAGGAGTCCCACAGGGCAGTTGCCTGTCCCCGAGCCTCTACGCGGCCTACGCGAACGACGTCCCGGCCCTGGACGGCGTCAAACTCGCCCTGTACGCTGATGATACGGCGTACATCAGCACCTCCATGAATGCGAACCACGCCGCCGCCAAACTCCAGCCCACGTTGGATGCTCTCGGCCCTTGGCTTGAGAAATGGCGCCTGCGCGTCAACGTGGCCAAGACTCAGGTGATGGTCATCGGACGCAGACATCGCCCCCTACCACCAGTCACCATCCTGGGAGAAACAGTCCCATGGGCCCAAAGCGTCAAATACCTCGGAGTCACGATTGACGCTCGACTCTGCATGAACGCCCACGTAACCGCCACCATTTCAAAAACAAAGTCGGCGAGCGCACAGCTGCGCCCCCTACTCCGCAGCCAGCTACCCATCAAGACGAAGGTAGCTATTTACAAACTCTACTTACGATCCATCCTGACATACGCGTCCCCAGCGTGGTTCGCGCTGGTCGCCGAGTCCCACCGGAAACGCCTCCGAGCCCAGCAGAATATCACACTACGCCTCATTGCAGATGCCGGACGCTATGTCAGGAATACAACCCTTTTTTTTATTTTTTTTATTTGTGTCTGGAAAATGCTTTACGCATCCTTCAACCACTGGGGGAGCGAGAAGAAGGTATGTGGGACTCCTCCCCGTCCACTTCAGCCAACCCTAAGGCTCGCCGAAGTGAACAGGGCCCTACCTACGCCCTAAACAGGGCCACTAAAAACCAGGCAATACTCCAGCACTGGTCACCCGACACGCAATCCGAGGGCCGGAGTCCCCCCATTGCGTGACGAGAGTGCGGGTTAGTAGCCACGGGATACGCAACGCACCGCGGCCCCGCCAGTGATTGTCCGTTGCCGGACCCCCCCGGCGTGCGGTTCCCCGGAGTATCAGGGGCACCACACGTCTCAGGAACCGTGCAATGTGACCCGACGCCCCCCACGCCTGGCCACTGGTTCCCGGAGGAGTGGGAGGAGGAGCGTAGTTCTCCCCGTCCCTCTCCCCTCGCCGTCGATGCGGGGGCAAACATCCCCTCCCCCAGCCGCCCGCGTCTCACTGACCCTTCTCCTGAGAGAAGAGATGGGAGACGCGGGCGGCGGCAGTCGGTAGGGAGTCCGAGCAGCCTAGACTACTCGGACATCCCGTCCTCTGGGGGTGCCTGTCCCGGCGTCAACGACTCAGCGACCACTATGCCCGGGGCTTTGCCCCTGGTAACCGGAGGGTCGCACCTCCTACTCCCCATTATGTGGCCAGATGGCCTGCCACTTTCTGCGCAGATTGCGCACCGGGGCGGAGCGGCGCACACCGCCGCCCTGTGCCCCGTCTTCCCACATCTATAGCACAGAGTGCTCCGGTCCTCCTGCGCTGGGCATCGCGCAGCCGCGTGCCCCTTGCCCATGCACCGGAAACAGTGCAGAAGCCGGCTGAGGACCGTCACCCTCGCTGTGTTCCAGCCCACCTTGAGCCTTCCTTTTTCCACCAGCTTCCTCGCGGCCCATGTGGGACACCGCACGAGGATCCCCCTCATCCCTCCCGGACTTGGGTGCTCTCCCCCAGATGAGATTTCCGCTCGCTCTCCGCACATCCTCCCTCTCTGGCTATCTCCTCCTTGATCTCCTTCAGCGTCACGGACTCGTCGAGTCCGGTCAGCTTCAGGTCCGCTTTTTTTTCTGGCCGGCAAATCTCCACGTATTCGCCAACCACCTCCTCCATACGCTTGGCTAAAGCGTCTGCCTTTCCCCTGTTTCCAGGCCCCGATACGAGCAGGAGCCTGGAGCCAGTCTGGCTGGTCTTAATTTTGAGCCCTTCATCAATGCTCACGGACGGCAGCTCAATTGCCGCCCGTGCCATTTCTACAATGTTGGTGTAGGTGTAGCCCAGCTCCTCCGCCCTGGGCTTCACCTTCAGCTCGATTGCGGCGGTGTTTGGCACCTTTATGCGCGGCGCCGTTTCCCCACCCCTCCTCTGGTCAGGGCCGCTTCTGTTTTGTGCGGCAGCCTTCCCCTTCTGCACCGGGCTAGCTGCAGGAGCCGTGCCCTTCTCCTTCCTCGGCTTCCCCCGAGCAGCTACCACGCTCCATTTTTCTTTCTTCCCCGTCTTTGCTGCGGCCTCCGCCGTGCTGCGATCCGCAGTCAGTGGTGGCCTGAGACTCTTCTCCGGCGGCAGCTGGAGCCTTTCCGCAAAGGAGGCCAGCCGAGTGCTGTCCATCTCCCCTATGCTGATCATTAGGGAGCGTTTCAGCTCCTCGGCTGCCTCCGCCATCAGTAACGCGACTGGCTCTGGCGCGGGGTGCACCCCCCTCCCCACTGCTCTCTTTATCGAGCCCAGCTCCTTCTTCAGGGCCTCAACCTCAGCCCTGAGGCTCTCATTGTCCTTCCGGAGTCGGCCATTTTCCTCCTCTATCCTGTCGAGCCGCTCCACCCTGTCTGCCTTTTTCAAGGCTCTCCTCACCAAATCCGGTACCTCGTCCGTCGCCTGGAAGGTCCTCTTTTTCTTTTCCTCGATGGGTATGGTCAACATCGCTAGACCGCCGATGTAGTTCAGGTTCTGTTTGATTTTGTCCCTGAGCTCTTCTGTCGTGATGGTGTCGGTTTCCTCATCCTTCCACTCCTCACCTTCCGATTCTTCACCTTTCGGTGCCTCCCCTTTTGGTACCTCCGAGTCTTGGGACTCCTCGGAATTGCATGGCGCAGCCTTCCGCTTGCGCTTGCTCTTCCCCCGTTTCGCCTTCGTTACTATGCGCGATGGCATAGCCTCCTCCTCGTCCATGTCGCTGTCTCCTCCACGTCTAAGGCGTAAGATACCAGCGTTCACGGAAACTCCCTCACACGCCTCGGTAACAAACTTCCCACTGCGGGATCCGGTAATCCCGCAGCGCCGGTGGCCAGCCGGAGCGCATAGGCCGCTAGTGACCAATTTCTCACCCTGGGGCCCAGCTACCCCAGAGCGCCCGTCGTCAGCGGGAGCGCATGACATACTAACCGCGATAACTGACATTCTTCATGATTTCCCTCTTCCGGGCGAGGGAGCCCTACATGGCCTCGTCAAAAAGGTAATTTTTGAAAAGGTTTTCTTCCTTGCGGCCCCCGCCCCCAAAGAGCGGCGGCCCCACACTACGTATGGGGTTACGGGTTGGCCGGAGGCGACGCGGAGTTCGCGCCGCAACCGCCCTCACCGATGGCGTTTCCGCCTCGACCAGAGTCTCGACCACCGCTACCCGGGCTGCCCGGGGCGCCGGTCGAGATACCCTCAGGTGATTTTTGAAGAGGTTGTCTTCCTCGCGGCCCCCGGCTCCAAAGGAAACAGTTCCTTTGCAGGCGGCGGCCCTCGGCCCCGCACTATGTGCAGGGTTACGAGTTTGACCCGACTGCCGCTACCCGGGATGCCCAGGACGCCAGCCGAGACCCCTCGGGTTATTTTTTCAGAGGTTTTCTTCCTCGCGGCCCCCACCCTCCGAAGAAGATGGCGGCCCTCGGCCTCACACCGCGTACGGGGTTACGAGATTGCCAGCTATTAGCCTACGCATGAGGTATCCTTGCGGATACCTTATACGTAGTTGCCCAGAGCGCACCGGACCAGCACATTTCCGTTCCCTAGGCCTTTTTTTTTTTGTTTTTTTTTTTGACGAGGGGAAATGCAGTTACGCACCGTACCGTGACGCTGACTAGGCGCACGGCGTGTGTGGGACTCGCCGGCACAAGAAACAGTGCCGACCCTACTCAAGCAGGACCAGTGCGGAAGGCCACACTGATCCTACTCCACTAAAACCCCCCGGTACCCTCCTATGCCCATATGGGGGCGGTCTCGGGGCCGACGCACCTGCGTGCGCCACAACTCCGAGCACGCCCCCGGGCAGGCCCGGCCCAACGAGTGGACCGGGCGACGCGCCTCAGGGAGACTGTGCTAGGGTACTAGGCAGTCACACGTCCCCAGACGTGGTGGCCTATGCCGCAGCGGCACCTAGGGCGCGCGGCTAGTCAGGCCGCGCCCAGGCCACCTTAGGGCCGTCGAAGACCGGCAGTCACCGCTGCCTGCCTTCTTCGACCCACCCGTCTAGAGCGTCCTCCTCCCGCTCCCTCTCCGCTGCCTCCTTCTGCGCCATCACAGTTTCGCAGAAGGAGGCGGCAGCCCTCCAGGCTCTCTCGCTACCAAGCATGGCTCTGACCATACTTGGCAGCGTGAGGCCTCCTCCGCCGAGCGCCGCGATTAGATCGCGGCGCTCATCTCGCCAGGCCGGGCACACGATCAACGTATGCTCGGCCGTGTCGTCGGGAGAGGCGCAGTGATGACACCGCGGTGTCTCCTCCCGACGGGCGACTCGGTGCAGGTAGTGACCGAAGCACCCATGTCCGGTCAGTACCTGCACCAGGCGGTAGGTGAGGGTGCCCCGCTGGCGCCCTACCCACTCCTCCAACACCGGACGAATCACCTCAATCGTCCGGTGGCCAGCGGCTGGGTTGGCGAGTGCCTCCACCCATCGGCGCAGAGCCTCCCTCTGCGCCTCGGTGCGGACCCGTTCTATCTCCTCTAGAACGGGTCGCTCGCCCCGCTCTCTCGCCGCGACCCGGTGTTGATGCACCTGGGACAGTACCAGGGCATCAACCTCCCACGGGAGCGTGCCGCGCACGGCCCGGGTCGCGATGACCCTCTGCGGTCTTCGCAGGAGGGCCCTCGTGCGGGACGAGAGGCACTCCGCCCAGACCGGGGCCCCGTACAGCGCCATCGACTTTATCACGGAGTGATAAAGCCGACGGCACTTCGCCTTCGGCCCCCCCACATTGGGGAGGAGGCGACCGAGTCCGGCTGCGACGCCGCACAGCTGGGGAGCGAGGAGTCTGAAGTGCTCCTCCCAGCTCCATCGGGGGTCTAGGGTCAGGCCGAGATACTTGAGATGCATCTCGACCGGAACCCACACCCCCTCTACCCGGGCACGGAACCCCGGCGGGGTCCTGCGTCTGGGACCGTGGAAGGCCATGGCCCTCGTCTTTTCGAGGGCCACTTCCAGTCCCAGGAGGCGGATGCGTTGGACAACCATGGAGGTGCCGACCGACGCAAGGTGGACCGCCTCCTCCCACTCCCTCGCTCTCGCCGCTACAAGGGTGTCGTCCGCAAAGCAGACGACATCCATGCGCGGCAGGAGCTCACCCCGCAGGACCCAGTTGTACCCCAGGTTCCATAGGAGGGGACCTAATACGGAACCCTGGGGCACGCCTGCCTTCACTGGCCACGATTGGACGCGGCCCTCCGCATCCTCGTACAGGACTGACCTGTCTCGCAGGTAGTCCCGGACGAGGGTGCGGAGGTAGAGTGGCACTCGGTGGAACTCGAGCGCCGCCTCTATGCACTCGTGGGGGATGATGTTGAACGCGTTCGCGATGTCCAAGGACACCGCGATCACCACTTCCCCCCGAGCTGTGGCCGCCTCAGTCCATCTCTTGAGACGGCCAACCGCGTCCACCGTGGACCGGCCGGTTCGAAAGCCGTACTGGCATTCCGCCAGGTCCGGCCCCTCACCCTCGATGTGCTCGATGATCCGTGAGGCGAGAATCTTCTCAAAAGCCTTCCCGGACTCATCGAGCAACACCACTGGCCGGTAGCCCGCTGGGGAGTCCGCCGGGCGGCCCTCCTTGCGGAGAAGGCAGAGCCGCCCCACTCTCCAGCGCCTGGGAAAGCGACCCGTCGCAGTGCATGTATCTAGCACCGTGCGGAATCGCTCTCGCAGGGGACCCAAGGCAATGGCCATTACCTTGGCCGGGGCCCCGTCCGGCCCCGGAGCTTTATTGCGGCTCCGGAGCCGGTCCCTCACCGTGTCGAGTTCTACATCAGACACGGGGGGGCCAGCAGCCCACGCCCCCGGAGCAGAACCGGGGGGCAGCATTCTGGGGGGTTCAAAGGGCCCGGGGTCTGGAAAAAGTGTCCCCAGCACCCTTCTCACCAACGCGGGCTCCATATCGGACGTGGAGGGGGCCGCCGAAGCGAACTTCCCCCTCACCGTCCAGTACGGCCTCCCCCAGGGGTCGCTGTCCAGGATGGCCAGAAACTCATCCCAGGCAGCGACCATGGCCCCCATACTGGCGGTACGCAGGACCGTGAGCTCCTGCGTCCACCAGTATGCCTGCCCACTCCTCCGTGGGCCAACCCGCGCCCTCGGCATGGCAGCGCTGCAGACGACGTTGATGTCGTCCGCGAAAAGCTCCGCCATGCCGTCGGCATCCCCCGCGACGGCGTCGGGGACCCCTGCCCAGGCCCGCACCGTCGCCGCCTCCTCCGCCACATCCAGCTGGAGGCGTGCGAGCGCCCACCGTTTGAACGGCGAGCCGCCCGCACGGGGGCCCACCGGGGCCCCTGGGGATGCCGTGGAGACCTCGTATCGGACGTATCGGTGGTCCGATAGAGTCTCCACATCCGCCTCCACCCGCCAGCCCCGGATACGGGCCGCGAGCGGCAGGGTGGCGAAGGACACGTCAATGAGTGACGTGCCCTGCCACCGGACGCAGGTAGGGGTGGTTCCTCGGTTGAGGATCTGGAGACCCAGGGCGAACACCCAGGCCTCCAGAACACCACCCCTGACGTCAGTGCGGGGGGACCCCCACGCGGTCGATTTCGCGTTGAGATCCCCGGCCACCAGCACCTGACGAGGGGCCGCGCGGTGCACGACCCCTTCAACCGCAGCGAGGAACCGTTCAAAATCGGCCCTGCTGCGGTTGGGGGAGAAGTAGGTGGACACCACCACCACCTCTCCCCATCGTGCCGCCACATACCCCTCCCCCCTCTCCACCAGCACCGGGGAAGGGCCCACACCCGCCGCCACGATGGCAGCGGAGCCATCCGCAGCCCCCATCCACTTGTCGGACGGGGGGATACGGTACGGCTCGGAGACCACCGCAAGGTCGACCCCCCACTCCGCCATCGTCTGGCACAGGAGATCCTGTGCCCCGGCGGAGTGGTTGAGGTTGGCCTGGAGCAGTTTCCCCAATGTCCTACTGGGCATCGTTGACGGACATTGGGGTCACCGCTGGGGTCGCCTCTGGCGTGGCGCGGGGGGCCGCCTTTGGTGCGGCACCAGGAGCCGCTGCCGGTTTCCGCAGGCGGCCCTTGACGGGAGGGGGCTTGCAACTGGCCCCCGCCATTCGGTGCCCGGCTGGCAGGCCCCTGTCGGCACACAACGCGCAGTGCGGTGGGGCCTTGCAGGCCTTGGCTACGTGCCCCTCTTTGCCGCAGCGATAACAGAGACCGCTGCGGTCCTTGTTGGAGGGGCACATGGCTTCTGGGTGCCCCAGTGCCAGACACCTGTGGCACCTGTGACCGTCGCCGCGCTCCATCCCACCTCCAGCCTCCCATCCTTCACCAGCCTGCCCACGGCCTCCACTGGGCAGGAGGCGATGGCGGAGCCGATCCCCCTGACGCCGGCGGATATTGCCCCCACCCTGATGGTTTCGGGGGGGTAGCCGGCTTTTTGGGCCAGGGCCGCGCTGACTTCCTCGGGTGTCACAGTGTCATCGAGACCCGACACCCGGATATCCGCCAATTTCATAGGGCGGGTCACCTTGGCGGCTTCGCCAAGGGCCTCGCCCACCTTGGCCGCCAATGCATCGGCCTGGGCAGTCGTCGTTCCGGTCGGGAGCTCTATGATTCTCGCTCCCGTCACCGTCGTCCGGAACTTCGACGGGCCGATGCCCAGCTCCTCCATGTTTACGGACGCCTTGGCCTTGGCCAGGGCGTCCTTATAAGTGGCTCCGCCAGCCACCGCCTCCGGCTTGAGAGCCACCACCACCGCCAAAGTCTTGGGCGGCTTGGGTAATTTAGGGCCCTTGGCGGCCTTCTTCGTCTTAGGGCCCGCCGCCGTGGGCGCCGATTGGGCCGCGGGCTTGGCCTTTTTTGGCTTCTTAGTCACGGCGACCCAGGCCCCCTCCGCTGGCGGCGCCGTCTCAGGCAGCGGCTGTGGTGCTGCCGTCCTAGGCTCCTCTCCGTTCCCTAGGCCTAAGCCACAGGAGAGGAAATATACCAGCCACACGGGGAGGTTTCTGGCGAAGCACTCTAGGAATACAACCCTGCAGCGCGACCTCAAAACAGAGCCCCTCGATGAGTTCATCAGCAGACTCGCCACCAAGATGTTCAGCCGAGCGGACCACTTAACGTACGTGCACCTGCGCGACATCGCGCCCGCGTACGTCCGCTCCAGAACCCGCCGCGACAGACCGCTCCCCAGGGAGCTCCTGCCCCCACCTGATGAGACACCACCAAGTTCCGCACCGCGAGCGGTTGAGCCACCACCACCGGATTGACACCAGCCCCGCCCGCACTCCTGCGGGCGGGCCCCACCTGACAAGACTACCCTCCTGAACTGACTCTCCAAAATTTCGACACACACGATTGCGACTATCCAAACCAGAATGGCCCTAATCCCCCCTCACGCTAAGTCCACCGCCCGCTCGCTGGTCGCTCACTGGGCCTCCCCCATGGGTCTCACCCGGTGGGCTTGACCGCGCCGAGGGCGGTGCGTGAAGACGTAGAGAGGGGGGAAAAGGACCCCAACGACCACTCTGCATGGGCAGAGTGCGAACCCGCAACCTCCGAAGTGGAAAAGCTCCAAAACCGGATTCCCCGCACGCCGCGGCGCCTTCGGCGCCTGCGACGCGCGTGAAGAAATACTGCAGGCTCTTCTGATATTACGCTTGCAGCAGAGACGCGCTAACGCTCGTCTCTCCGTTTTCTATTTTCGTTCGCGTTAAAACAACTAACCTCCGTTATGTCGGGACGTGGTAAAGGCGGCAAAGTCAAGGGGAAGGTCAAGTCTCGCTCTAACCGAGCCGGTCTCCAGTTTCCCGTCGGACGTATACACAGGCTGCTGCGTAAAGGCAACTACGCGGAGCGTGTCGGTGCCGGCGCCCCCGTTTACTTGGCGGCCGTCATGGAGTACCTCGCCGCTGAGGTTCTCGAGTTGGCAGGCAACGCTGCTCGCGACAACAAGAAGACCAGAATCATCCCTAGACATCTCCAGCTGGCCATACGCAACGACGAGGAGTTGAACAAGCTCCTGTCCGGCGTTACCATCGCACAGGGCGGTGTGCTACCCAACATCCAGGCTGTGCTCCTTCCCAAGAAGACTGAGAAGAAAGCTTAAGCAGCTTATTCACTCGCTCTCTCTCCGCACTGACGACGCGCCCGACTGTGCGTGTGCTGTGGAGACGGAATACGAAGAAGACAAAAACAAAAAAGGCCCTTTTCAGGGCCACAATATGATTCGATTGATTGTTACGTGATAACTAGATTTTTTCACTATGCACGGTGGTACAAACAAACGTCCTGCTTGCACACACATCAGACTGATATTTCTGCACACCTACCTGTACCTACTACTTACTACCATTTAGCGTAGGTAACAAATTTTATATAGACAATATGAAAAAAAATAATAATAATAACAACAAAAAAATACGCGTGAAATGCACATTCGATTCTATTGCGAAATAAAACGTGTGCTGCGAAAAATACTCTCATACATACGTTACATATTATTTATAATTATCAATTATTATTATATGATATACACCATGTAAAGAAAAATAATGTGATACCTACTTACTAGTAGTAGTGGTGAATAAGTGTACCTGCACTACATACGTAATACTATATAATATAATTCCGCCCGACGACGTCGAAACAGCCGTCCACAACATCACTGCCACCATCCAGTCTGCGATTATCACTTCTACCCGCACCCTACCTGATACAGGGAGAATTTCTACCCTCCCACATCGGATACTCCATCGGAAACTCGGATTGCGCAGACTGCAACGCACCTGGCAACAGGATCGCTGCCCAATCCTAAAAATCCGCCTCAACGCACTCACCGAAAAGGTAAAAAGCGCCCTCGATGACCATGCTGCACTAAAGTGGGACTGACACCTGTTAGGCGTGGGTGGGGACATGCCCTCTGTCCACCGCCTATGTAAACAGTTTTCCGCGACGGTGTCGACACCACGCCCACTCATCCACGATAACGGACAGCCGCACTACCAAGTGAAAGACCGCGCCGAATTATTAGCCGACCACCTAGAGCGACTCTTCGTCCCCAAAGACACGACAGACAGTGAGCACGTTGCGACCGTGAGGTCGCACGTGATTAGCTGTATGTCGCAGCCGTTACTACCGGATCAAGACTCCATCGTATTTTCGCCAAAGCAAGTCCAGAAAGAGATAACCAAAGCGAAGCCAAGAAAGGCCCCTGGACCCGACAATATTACGAATACAGCCCTTAAAAATCTACCCCCAAAATCAGTCGCCGCCATCACCCGCCTTTACAACGGCATATGCCGCACGGGTCACTTCCCAACGGCCTGGAAAGAGGGTAAGGTGATAATGGTCCCGGAACCGGGAAAAAACCATAGCAAACCAGACAGCTACCGACCAATCACCTTACTGTCCACCCTGTCAAAAGTTTTTGAAAAACTTATTTTACCAAAAATGACTCACCATATTGAACCCCGCCCGGAACAATTTGGGTTCCGCGCCAACCATTCAACTACACTACAGTTGACCCGCGTGATCCACCACCTAGCGACGTGTGTAAACAAGAGAGAGTACGTAGCAACTGTCTTCCTAGATGTAGAGAAAGCCTTCGACAGAGTGTGGCACGAGGGCTTACTCAACAAACTCTCCCAAACCCCACTACCGCAACGCCTGCTACGAATAATCGCTTCCTTCCTCACCGACCGACGCATCCACGTGACTGTAGAGGGCACGCACTCTACCTCGCGCCCGGCCACTGCAGGCGTCTCGCAGGGCAGCTGCCTGTCACCGCATCTCTACACGGCGTATACAAACGACGTCCCAACGTTAGGCGATGTCAAACTTGCAATATACGCCGACGATACCGCCCTCTTACTTACTTGTTACTTATTGTGGGCCCCCGTTTCCGCACGTAGACTCCGTACTTGGTCCATTGTGCGTGCAGGGTATGTTGGGCTAGCTAGCTCAGCCAGCCCAGCTCCTTCCAGAAGCGCAGTAGCCTCCTGGGGCTCTCACAGGCTTCTAGGAGCGTCCTCGGCTTCCTGAGGATTGATGCCCGGTGTTCTGCAACGCTCGTGCATTCCAGGATCACATGAGCGGCCGTTTCATCTGCTTCCAGACATCCTCTGCATAGAGAGCTATCTGTAACGCGTATGGTTAGTAAATGCTTCTTAAGTGGGCAGTGCCCTGTTATGGTGCCTAGCATTACTCGGAGATCATTTCGGTTAAGATTAAGTAGTTTTCTAGTTAGTCTGGGGTTGAGGTTGGGAAAAATATCCTTAGATTGCCCGCAGCCCTCGGTATTCGCCCAACGGGTGTTATGGTTCTGTGTGGTTCGTTGCCGCATCCATGTACGAAACTGATTGAAAGGTAATGGCAGAAGTGACTCAGGGCCTTCCACTTTCTGTGATGATCCCCTTCTAGCTAGTTCGTCGGCTGCGTCATTACCCACAGAACCGCTATGTCCCTTGATCCATTGGAGGATAACCTTGTTATCCGTTGCTATGTGCTCCAATGCCAGGTGACATTCGTATACTAGCCCAGAAGTTTTGCTGTTACTATCTAGGGCTCTTAGGACAGCCATACTATCAGATAATATACGTATCTTGTAGTTTTTGACTTTCCTATTAATGACAGCGGTGGCGGCCTGAGTAATGGCTATACATTCACATTGGAATATTGAGCTGTAATTACCCAGTGCTGTTGATATATGGATGTTAAGGTCCAGTGAGAAGACTCCTGCGCCTGATCCGAATCCTGGTATTTTGGATCCATCAGTGTAAATGCGTAGTTCGTCTGTGCCCGACCAGTCCTTGTTGGTTTCTAGTAGTTCTATTTGATATCTTCTATCAAATGTATGAGTAGTCGGGATTTTATCACAGCAGGCTGTTACCATAGGTTGGTATTGTATAGCCCTTTCCAGAATTTTGGAGTGAGGTCCCTGGTTTACCGTCCACAAGCCCAGATGATACATTCTTAGCGCTGCCATACTTGCTTCCTGTTGTATAAACAGGTCGAGTGGCGGGATGTCGAGCGCTATTTCTAGGGCATTTATAGGTGTAGATTTCATGCAGCCTGTTATAGCAGAGTATGCTAGTCTTTGAAAACGCTGCAGTTTATTAATTGCGGTGTTTAGTTCAATTCTAGGCCACCAAACTATTGCACCGTAGGTGATGAGTGGTCTGATTATGGTTGTGTAAAGCCATTTTGTGATTTTTGGTGCAAGACCCCAGGTTTTACCAAGTAATCTTTTGCATTGCCAAAACGTGATACAGGCTTTGTTTATCTTTTGGTCTAAGTGGTTGTTCCATGTTAGCTTATGATCAAGAACTATGCCTAGATATTTGACCTCGCTTGACATAGATAGTTCGGTTTTAAATAACTTGGACAATTTAACGGTATACAAGTTACGTTTTTTCGTGAACATGACCATCTCTGTTTTGGTCGGATTCACCGATAGTTGGTGTTTAGTACACCATGTTTCAACTATTTTGAGAGCGTTACTCATTAAGTTGCACAGCACATTCTGGAATG